TAATGTTTAAGGCATCTGGGTAGACTAGACTCTCTGAAATGAACATATCGGACAACAAAAACAGTTGTTCATTTATCTTAATACGACTATAAAAATAGGGAGCCCAGAGACTCTCTTCATTTTTAAATACTGTATCTAGACTTGCCAAACATTGTAGACTTGCATGGGTTGTATTTGATATATTTGTATCAGGGTCTGTAAGACAGACAAGCATCTGGGGTGACGTTGGTCCATGTCAATACTCGCCACCTATCATGACAAACCATTGTTTTTAATAAACGACATATCACTAAGCGTTGATGTTGGTCTCATATGAATGATGTATAAGGGATACTAAACTTTTCATATCAGTAGGTTCGATTGGTACATTTAAAGTCATATATTACTCGCTCGTCACCTCGTCAGTTTCCGTCAACAGCTGCATCAGTGACATAGCCACTTAGTGGAATAAGGGTCTCTGAAATCCTCAAAGTGAGGAACAGCTAACTGCATTCCAGTCCCCCCAAAACTCCCGCTATCAGCAGGGGTCCTCTTGCCAGCTTCCCCGGTGTGTCACATCTGATTAATGACCACAAGCTCTTCTGTAGCAGACGACATGTATGTGAGTCCAGAAAATAATTGTCTTCTTTTAAAATATTGATATTTGGTTATTTTAAACTACTTTCGAAACATTTAAATGTTCTGCAGATTAAAAGAAAGTTTATTGGTCAACTTGTAGACAACCCATTTAAATTTAAATTTATTGTGCGTAACATAATGGCTTTATTAATGCTTTCAAAAGCAGGCAAGACATATTACAAAGTATAACTCTTTTGCCATGAAACATTTATCTAGTCAGTTGTGTACGAAAACATCAAAAGTACAGTAGACATTGATGAATAATTAAAACAAATGTTCATAATTAACAAATCAAGTGGATTTTTTACATGAAGCAGAAACAGTATTTACTTACTGGATTCAACATTTGACATAATAAGAAATATCTTTCAAGAGCTATAAGCGTGTTCATAAACCTGCAGGTGCAATGGACATCAAGTTACTGCCCAGTACTGGAATTGGTGCACGTGGTCTTCTGGTTACATTCATGTAGATACGAGAAGTTAAGTTAAAACAAACTATATAGAAATAGTTTCATCTTGGTTTTCCTTTCATGTAAATACCATAGTCACCCCTATTTGTTCTAACTTTGATGGCAAAGAGTATTTAAAACATAAATAAGTACAAAGTAACAAATGTCATATTTGGGATAAAACTTTTATCTGTAAAGTGCAAACCCTAGTAATCATTGTTGGAGTTGAGTCCCATCTGGGACGAAAATGGAAGTTTGACAAATGGTACTCACAAGCTTCGTGTACCACTCTGACAAGTGTAAACCCACTAATTATAAAGTTTAAAATTTTACCCATCATATTATTCTCAAAAAGGTTTGAGGAACCATTTTACATTGCTACGTTAGATTTTGAGGAGGTTATTGAGGCATATAATATATCCTTTTAATAACTGAAGTGGTAGTCAAACATAACAAATGTTATATATTTTGGATAACACTTTCTTTGCAAAGTACAGTTTCTCCAGACTGAGGCACCAATCGCCAGCACACAAAGTCAGCGCTCTAATCCACTCAGCCACCGAGGCTTCCACAAAAATGAAAGTCCGACAACTGGTAGTCTAGATCACGTACTTTGAGTACCCCTCTGACAAGTGTAAATTGGCACTGTTCCCATGGCCGAAAGCTATGAATACACAATGCCATTAAGAAAGTGGTCAAATGTAACAAATGTTATATTTTGGATAACACTTTCTTTGCAAAGTACAGATTCTCGTACTTTTTCGGGTTGAGTCCCGTCCAGGATTCGAACCCACACTGCCAGAGTGAGGCACCTAATCGCCAGCACACAAAGTCAGCGATCTAACCCATTCAGCCACCGAGGCTTAAACAAAATTAAAAGTCCGACAAGTGGCCATGGGAGCCCTGCCAAATATACACTTGTCAGAGGGGTACACAAAGTATGTGATCTTGACTACCAGTGTTATCCCAAATATACTATTTGTTACATTTGACCACTTTCTAAATGGCATTGTGTGTACATGGCAGTCAAACAGTTTTGAACATTATTTGTTGTGGCGAACATATTGTAAATTTGCTCCAGTATAAATCCATTTTTCAATTTTTCACTGAAAGAGCAAGTTGAACAGAATACTATTAAAACACTAGTCTGCCTCACAGAATCTCAAGCTTTTTAGTTTCCTTTCTGCCTTCCCCTTACTGAAATGGTATAGCCCTAAAACATGAAGCAAGTATAAAATTTTCTAAAAGCTGAATCTCTCATCTCTGTGTGGCTCTTTTTCAATTTATTGGCGATATTGGTTTTTATTAAAATTATATAGACTAAGGGTTAGTCTACTAACATACCTATGAGTATGAGCCTAACCCAAAACTACCATCATTAGTAATGGCTAATGAATTGCCTAATTGGGTTTAAACCCGATAAATATAAAAACTTACCACATTGAACATGATTTATATATTGGTCAAGGGATGTCAGTTTCCAGTGAATAGACACTTTATTGTAATTATTACCTCCAAAACGTTTTTCAAAGAGTTGATTTGGTCACTGTAGTTTCACTGTTTTGTCTTGGAGTCTTATGTTTCAATTCTTGAGTGTCAAGCTGGCCCACGCCATCAGTGCCCTAAAGTAAACAAACTGGGACCAGCTTGACCGTGCCTGCTTCACTGGAGCAGGGGAACAACTGATAAGATCATGGCTAAAGAGTATCAGATTCAGTGAGAGGGGGGATGCTGACAGGGAGAGTTTGGGCTTATGCCACTAAGTGTAGCGGTAATTTAATACATAATAACATAACGGTAAATCCCATAGCGTGGGATTTCTTATTGGTTCTCGTTGGGACACTTTTGGGCCATTGGTACAAGGTATTCAAAGTTGCACAGCAGGGTTGGAGCCCTGTGCGAGGAGCCGTTAGTTGTTGACATTTTTAGTTTCAATAAAATCATTAAATGCTCTCGTGTCACCGGATTGTCTGGTCAAGACTCGACTGTTTACAAGCCGTCGCTATTCGGCGGGAGAAGCGCTGTGTGGCCTAAGACAACCAACACTTACCTTTTGACGCAAAATGTGTGAGAGGCAAGTGCGACCGTTAGCTCAGGTTGGTTGGTTGGGTCGTTTGTTGTTTTACGCCGCACTCAGCAATATTCAAGCTATATGACGGCGGTCTGTAAATAATCGAGTCTGGACCAGACAATCCAGTGATTAATATCATAAGCATCGATCCACGCAATTGGGATCGAAGACAGGCATTAACCAAGTCAGCGAGCCTGACCACCCGATCCCGTTAGTCGCCTTTTACCACAAGCATAGTCACCTTTTACGGCAAGCATGGGTTGCTGAAGACCTATTCTATACACCCTGGTGTGATCACGGAGTTTCATTGATCCATTCATATATTTTTCACCGCTATTTTGCGTTTTACGCCAAGAGGAATCTGTTTCGGCGGGTAATCGAGACTGATTATTATCTGGTGTTGACGTTCAATATTTACAGTCGAGATTCCCCGTGATTTGATCTTTGGTATTTTCCATTGTCGTGAGGCTTACCAAAACATCGGCAGCTTTTCTTTTCCCGTGATGATTCAGGCTTGTCTGTCAGTACATCTAGCCTGTTTCTTTTGTGTTACCGTCACCTTAAACACCTTAGAAAGTCATTACCTTGTAGGTTTGGCTTGAAGCTCACATCTGTGAGCGTTGTGCAGAGGTGGTAATCACTTCCGGCTTTCCTCCAGATCAAGATGACACGCCGCGATATACCTGGAATTCGGAAATAGCTGCGTTATACAAACTCACTCACTCGCTCAGATAGTTTATGTCCTTTAGTTGCTTTGGTATAGAAGGCTCAAGTGAGTGAGTGAGTCAGGTGTAACGCCGCTTTGAAAAGTCTTCCAGTTACATCTCGGTGTGTCAGTATAATGTGGGAGGTAAGCCCGAAGTGATGCAGGCGTTTACCACTTTTATGAAATCCACGAGCACGGGTATGGTCCTGTCAAACTTTAAGACATAACCGGGATTCGAACCCACGATCATAGATTTCTGGCGTACTCTAAGGACGTAACTCTGCAAAGCGAATTGTGGCACCTTAGACGGCTGGGCCATGCGTGCCCCAATTATAGGCTCGAATGGTTACTTACAAATGTAGTCAACAGCGGTTTAAAGGCGCGTGGTTCCTAACTAGTTCTTTTGCACAAGATATTAGATTAGTATGCATAGGTTATTTCGAAATTATAAACTGATAACCAAATCGTTGAAAGTACTTCCACTTAACATCCTCTGTCACCCCTTCCGCCCTACCCCCAGTACCCCCTTAACCATGACGTCCGCCCTACACCCAGTACCCCCTCAACCATGACGTCCGCCCTACCCCCTGTACCCCCTCAACCATGACGTCCGCAGTACCCCCTCAACCATGACGTCCGCTCTACCCCAACTACCCCCTCATTCATGACGTCCGCTCTACCCCAAGTACCCCCTCAACCATGACGTCCGCCCTACCCCCTGTACCCCCTCAACCATGACTTCCGCCCTACCCCCAGTACCCCCTCAACCATGACGTCCGCTCTACCCCCATACCCCCTCAACTATGACGACCGCCCTACCCCCGTACCCCCTCAACTATGACGACCGCCCTACCCCCGTACCCCCTCAACTATGACGCCCGCCCTACCCCCAGTACCCCCTCAACCATGACTTCCGCCCTACCCCCAGTACTCCCTCAACCATGACGTCCGCCCTACCCCCGTACCCCCTCAACTATGACGACCGCCCTACCCACTTTACCACGCCGTTCAGGTGCTGTACTGATTGCGTCGTTGAGGTGGCGCCCTGACAAAACATTGACGTTAGTACATTGAGCCTGACGGTTGGACACCGAATAATTAAGAATGCATAGTTTAAATGAGGAACTCAACCCAATCTTAATGTTTTGTTGCAGGAGAAAGCAGTCTGTCTGTGGACCCCAACAGACCACTCTACATCCGGGAACATTCCAGACTGAAGTTGGACTGTACATATAAGGGGGACAATGGTCACATCAAGTGGACCAAGGACGATGTCCAGGTGCAAGAGCCCCACTTCGCCACGCACACATTCAGGACGGCGGCGTTCTCCGGCGGCAAGATTCAGATGGTCACCAACTTGACCATCACCAAGAACAACATGCTTCTCAGAGACTCGGGAGTCTACGCATGCGTGTCGGGGTTGGATATGAGAGCCGTTCGGGTCAAGGTTTTGAGGGGTGTGTGTAAATATTGACCATGTTCTTGATGCTTAGATGTAGGATTTTCTTCAAGCCTTTCTGGCCTCACTCGTCTTGTTATGGGTGATGAAATGTCGCTTGTCCCGAAACACGTCTGCGGTTACTCACAGACAGAACGTGGCAATTTCAAGCTATAATTAAGATCAGTTTTATATGCCTTTTGAAATGATTTACTTAATTTGGAAATTGTATTGAACATATTCACTCGTACACACCGGTACTTACTGAAGAATACTTGTATATGGTACAAGTACCTGTATATAAATTCGTATTATATGTATTGGCGTAACCTCGATATATCGATATATGTCCGGCGATATTCCAAGGTTGTCAGGGTTAGGGGAATACATGTGGTAAATAATTGATTCTTGTTATTGTTGTAGTCGTATTCAGTCGAACACGGTTTATTATAATTATATTGATGTATGCATATTCATTCGTAGTAAGTACCTTTCCTAATGTATTTCAAGTTAAACAATTCTGCATACAATTAATTTGGAACTGTTCTTGCCATCTGTTCGATGGAAACCACAGAGCAGAGTTGCGTCCTTTAGTCTAGCCGGAATACACCATAGCCAAGCTCGTGAGTTTCACAAACGTGATAGACGTTTAAGACTTCCATCACTTTGTGTCTACCTCCTCCATTAATATGATCCGTCATGACATACGCACTGTTTAAAACGGCGTTAAACCAAACTCACTCACTCAACTAGGAACTATGGCACAATGCGAGGAAGCCTTATCTAGGTGTGTAGCACCACAACCACGAAGCCGACAGACGTAAGACCATGAACGAGTCTAACATGGGATTCGAACCCATGACACGCGCATTTCGCGCCTGGATATAGGGCAGAAAATGCGGCACCTTAGACCATTGGGCCACCCAATTCCAGACTCGTGACAGACTTGGTTAGCCGTGACTTTGTATGTTCATCTACTATGTGAGGTGAGGTGAATTTGGGTTTAACGTCGCATCCAAGATTATTGCACTTATATAGCGACGTGCATGCACGTGTATGTGTGTGTGTGGCTGCTTGTACTAGTCCGGACTGATGCCGATTTATAGTGCTAGCTCACTGAGATACCATGCCGCAGTTTAACATGAATACCCCACTCAGACACAGTATACTGACTCCGAGTCGACCAGTCCTTGTTTTAGCCCCTTAATGCCGAGCGCCAGACAGGGTAACAACAAGTACCATCTCTTAACGTCTTTTTGTATGACGCGGCCGGGGATCTAACCCCGGACCTTCCTCATCTATGTACATAAGTAAGTTGTGTTTGATGGTGTCTTATTTTACGCGGGCGGTGGGGTAGTCTAGTGGTGAAAGCGTTCGCTCGTCGCGCCGATGTCCCGCGTTTGATTCCCCACATGGGTACAATGTGTGAGGCCCATTTCTGGTATCCCCTGCCATGATATTGCTGTAATATTGCTAACAGCGGCGTAAATTATACTCACTCACTCATGATATTGCTGTAATATTGTTAAAAGCGGCAAAGCGTAAAACCATCTTCCCTGACACACTCTTATTTTACGCCAGAGGCAGCAATATTCCCGCTGACGGCGGCTTGTTAATAATTTGTACGTTAATGTGTTCATATGCTTCACACAACCGCCGTATTACATTAATCCAAGAATGTAATGAATGTCTACGCATAATTGAGTACATGCCTTGATGGAGGAGATATCCCCCTCCAAGCCTGTGTCGTATGCGGTGATATTGCGTCTACGGGGGTAAGGTGTTACATTTCGCAGACATGTTTGAATAATACTCAATACTGTGGAATTTAAGTAAATGTTAAGAAAATATAAAGAAACACAAAATAGGCAGCTGCGTCCCGTTTACATCTCGTAAGCATATATTAAGTATGGAAATTACGACACTCGTAGCGCTAAGATTTATTCGTAAATATGTTAAAATGGGAATTACGGCACCGCTAGCGCTTAGAATATTTGATAAGTATAATTATAATTAAACTGGGGGTTACGACACCTGTAGTGCTAAGATTATATTCTAAGTAGAGATTACAATGGGAGTCCCCCACCCCCACCCCCACCCCCACCCCCACCCCCACCCAACCCCACCCAACCCCACCCACCCACTTTGTAAATCCACGCTACTGTATGGGGTCGTCCTCCACGGGCGTTGGTATAATACTCCAAGGGAATTTAGAACTTGTAAATTGTGTGACTCTCCGACAATTGCAGACGAGTTTCATTATATATTTCGTTGTCCTGCTTTTGATGAAAATAGAAAAAGATTTATTTCAACAAAACTAACCCAATTTTCAAATATGGCATCTTATAGACGGTTGTTTACATCATCAGATTTCACTGTTTTAAGAAACCTAGCAAAGTTTATAAATGTTATCTTCTCTGTAATATCAAAACTTAGATAATAGACATGCTTATTATATCTACCACTGTTTACAATATATTGTTTTATTCCGCCGCCATTTTGACTGCTTGTATATAATGATTGACATGTAAAATGTACTCTAATACCACCATGCGTGGTTCTCTAGAGAATAAAGTGAAGTTGAAGGTAGAGCTGCCCAACCTATAGTCCGTGCTGGACCTGCTGCTTTGTTTGGTCACTCACCTGTGAAGACCCCGTTAGAATAGGTCTTCAAAAAGCCATGCTTGTCCCTATTAGGGGCGGGTGGTCAGGTTCGCTGACATGTCTACCGAGCCAACACCGGGGTTCTAAAATATTATCACCTTGGTGGGATGTCCTAGTGGTTAAAGCGTTCGCTAATCACGCCAAGGACCCGGGTTCGATTCCCCACATGGGTTCAATATCCATTTCTGGCGTCCCCCACCGTGATATTGCTGGGATATTGCTAAGAGCGGCGTAAAACCCTACTAACACTCACCCTCTCTCACTCACTCATTCACTCACTGTTAAGATTGGGATTCTTGAAATATATTTTCTTCGCTTCAGTTCAAACAGGAAGTCACGTGATCAGGGATCCTGGAGGGAGCATCACGCTGCAGTGCGACCCGGCAAGTCATGACGTCGATGTCCTGTGGACGAAGAACATGACGTCACTGAGTCAGCTGCCTGATCTGTCAGGAAGGATCTTTCTTGAAGCTAGGAACAGAACTTTAAGAATACGGAATGCCTGTAAGTACATGCACGTGCGACCCGTGAAGATCCGGGGTAGAATAGGTCTTCAGCAACCCTGCCGTAAAAGGTGACTATGCTTGTCGTAAGAGGCGACTAAAGGTATCGAGTGGTCAGGCTCGTTGACTTCGTTGATGCATGTCATCGTATCCCAATTGCGTTGATCCATGCTCATGTTATCAATCACTGGATTGTCTGGTCCAGATTCGATTATTTACAGACCGCCGTCATATAGCTGGAATATTGCTGAGTGAGGCGTTAAACAACAAACAAACAAATAAAACATGTACATGCAATATCTCTTACATGACCTCTAGAAACAAACAAGAGAGATGGTTTCATGGTACAGCTAACTGTCTTATAGAAGTGGCACTTCTTTTGGGATTCGAATCGTAAGTTAGATGGTATTGTTTCCTGGTAAACGTCTTGGACCCGCATCACTTCAAGCTTTTCTCACGCTTCAACCTGATACGCCGTTGACAGGAATAACTGTTCAACACGGCGTTAAACCACCTTGATTCACACACTTGTCCTGGAGACGAGAAGCTATATCTAAAAATGTGCATAAATATGTCAATTCTCTCACATAAATCGGATGGGGGTGGCCCAGTCAACAGAGCGCAGAGTTACGTCCCTTGGGAGTGCCATGATCCTATGACTGTTGCAATGTCAGCACCATATACCCATACCATACCCATGCTCATGGATTTCACCAAGGTGACTATTTTTCGCCATTAAGCTTATTCGCCGTGATGAAACTGAAATACTGTTCAAAGCGGCGTAAAACACTACTCATCCACTCACATGAAATAAGGCAACTTGGACAGACAGTTTTCATGGTATAGTGACATGCGTTATAGGAATGTCCTTTTTCTGGAATCACAACTGTATGGCTACGAGCACACACAAGGCCATGTGAGTGACACCAAGAAACACAGTGGGGTGGGGCCCTGATCGTCACCATGCCTTTCAGTTTTATATATAGCAGTTGGCCTTGTCCATTGATTTAACTGTTGAGCATTGACATAGGGTGTTATATGTATGATTTTACTTGAATATTGCAATACCTTCTGATTAAGAAAAGGTCAGGTCTGTAAATGAGTCTGTGTTTCTATATTCAGCTCTGGCTGACAGCGGGCAATACGAGTGTAACCTGAAACCACGGGACGGGGTCGTGCAAGGAAATCTCAGCTCTAAAGTTGTTTTAAGTGGTAAGTAGCTGTGTTCTTTATTAATATTAACACGTTTGTTTTCAATTTTTAACTATTTTCTAGTTGTATCAATATTCTTCGAAAAAGTGGGGCACGGGTGGCCCAGTTGTCTAACGCGCCGCGATTCGCTGTGCAGAGTTGCGTCCCATGGTCACGCCAGAAACCTATGAGTGTAGGTTCGAATCCCGGTTTGCCCCGATTATGTTTCTAGGTTTGTCAGCACCATACCCGCGCTTGTGGGTTTCACCGAAGTGGTAAACGTCTAAGACCTGCATCACTTTGGGCATTCCTCCCACATTAAGCTGACACGCCGTGATATAACTGGAATACTGTGGCGTTAAACCCAACTCACTCACTCACTCACTCACTCACTCACTCTTCGACAAATTTAGCTGGTTCTCTTTCTCTTTCCTTAATGAAATACTTACCAATTTTATTGAAATACGGTCACTGAACAAACTGACGTTACACCAAACCCACCTCGCCAAATCGGCAACTGCAACACACACAGGACGCGGCCTGTAATACACTCTTAGATTTTCAGTGTAACCGGCAAACCTACTTCCATTTTAAAGACAGCCATTGAGATATTATACGTAGTCAGACTATTCCAAAATAGCCATTTAATACAAAACGAACATAAAAATTAAATATTAACCGGTGTTCATTTCGTATCTTACAGAGTTACCAGAATCATGTATGGATTTAAACATTACTTCTGACATTAATCTTGGATTAGCCCAATAATTAATGCATTCAGACTTCTGTTACTAGTGCGTCATCACCGGGACAACCGGTCTCCTCTACTCAATTGGTACACTATATGCAACACAAACGGGTACTGAAAGGGTGAATATATTTTATTTCGATTTTAATTAAATGGAATGTGATGGCTCATGGGTTTGCCTTTGCAGAATAATGGTAATCGCAATATTTGTCTGTCGAGATGACGGCAAGGGAGCTGGTTTCAAAAAGTGAAAAGATATTATTTATTTTTTAAATTCTTTTTCATATCCATCTCTTTTGGCCAAACGAAGCTCTCTTAAACGGAGCATGATTTTTTGTTTATTGTTTAACGCCACTCTAAGCATTATTCCAGCTATATGACGGCGGTCTGTAATTAATCGAGTCTGGACCAGACGATCTAGTGATGGTTACCATGGGCATGGATCTACGCAATTGGGATACGATATGACATGCATCAAACTGAGCAGGACATAAAATAGAGAGTTATATGAAGTCTGTGTGTGACTAAGTGCCTGGTCGGTCCGTGTGCTCATTGCTGTTCTGGTACCCTTCTACCAGCTTGTGCAACAGCAGGATCCAATCTGAAAACTAGAATCAAACATCTATAACATTTGGCCTAAAACACTAAGTCTAGTTTGTTATGCAATTGTACGAACGTAATGGACCTGGCAGTGTTTGTTCAAGAACTCTATATGAAGATATGGCCATCATAAGCGTGTCATCTTTTAAATATTTGGCCGGACAGGACCTTTCCCTGTTTCACTATAAATCCTGGAATACACAAGACTGCCTTGAATAGACACCGGGTCAAAATCATCAAACATAGCTATTCCTTTTGATGCTCAATAAAGTAATATTGAACCGAAAGCCGTTATTATATAAAATTCAACCACACACGTTTTATTATTTTTCTGTCTCATCTCCATGTAAATTTAAGTGTTTACCGTAATTAAAATATAGACGCCTACCTTGAATAGACGCCGACTGTAAGACGTCTCTGAAATATAAAGACGTCAAGGCGTCTATTCAAGGATTTACGGCTATGTGTTTTCGGAGCAAAGTTTACCGAGACGCACTACCATGACTACCGACACATACTACCGACACAGACCAAGGATCTCTGTTAGCATTGACTCACAGTCGGTGGCCACAAGAATTCTGGCTGAAATCGACATGCGTAAGTCTGGTTTCCAATTTCCACGACGCATTACAATGTAAACACATTTAGACCTTTCTCATGTACAGAAGATCATCCCACTAGAGCGTGTCAGTCTCGAGAGTTCCAACTGAAGAAGTTCGTGAAGACACAAGATAGCTTATATGAGATTTGTGTTCGTGGGATCTGAATTGCAACAGAAGAGACGTGTGAACTTATATCAAAGCATTCTAATCACTTACAACCATGAGCATAAATATTCATAGATCGAATTCTTTTAAAGTATAATGAGTGAATGAAGTGGGTTTTACGCCGCTTTTAGCAATATTCCATGGCGGGGGACACCAGAAATGGGCTCCCCACATTATACCCATGTTGGGAATTGTTCCCGGGCCTTCGGCGTGAGGAGCGACCGCTTTAACCCCTAGGCTTCCATCGACGACCCACTCAGTCGAGGGATGATGGTGATACGACCACCCAGATCACACGTTCCTGCCACCCGATTCACATTAAGTCAGCTCCATAACACACATGAAGTACTGGGGTCCTACTCTACCCTCGGAATCGTGAAATTGTTGTTGTTTGTTGTTTAACGCCGCACTCTGCAATATTCCAGCTACATGACGGCGGTCTGTAAATAATCGAGTCTGCACCAGACAATCCAGTGATTGACAGCATGACCATCGAACTACACAATTGGGATACGATGGCATGCATCAACCAAGTCAGCGACACTGACCACCCGATCTCGTTGGTCGCCTCTTACAAAAATCATAGTCGCCTTTTACTGCAAGCATGGGTTGCTGAAGACCAATTCTATCCCGAATCTTCACGGGTCTAGAATCCTTAAGGGGAATACATGTCTATTAGTAAGTGTTAGTGTGAACCCTTAGAACTACCCTTGCCCTTTCAGCTTGAGAGTAGGTAAGTACGTTCTTTCTGTTATCTTGAATTATATGATTAGTTCAAAGAAACCATGAAACATTATTTCTCTTGAATAACGTTGAAGCAATTGACTCGAATCAAAACTACATGAGTTCAATGACTGCAGGTGCAGTGAGGTAGCCCAGTTGTTAAAGTGTTTGATCATCACGCAAAGGTCCGGGTCGAATACCCCATGTACAATTTTTGAAAGTCATTTCATGTGTCCCTCGCAGTGATATTGCTGGAATTTTGCTCAATGGGCGTTAAACCATACTCGCTCGCTCATTTGCTCACTAAATGACCGCAAAACGTCTCTAGTCTGTACTAAGGTGTGACCATTGCCGATTCTTAAAAGACATTCATATCAATACGCTAAGAATGTGGACTCCCTTTGACCGCCCCGAGTGCAAGACGAGCGAAGGTTGGCCGTGGAATGCGTTATCGAACCAAGCCTTTTATTTATCAGTACCTTAGAGACGCACGACTTTCATGTACACCTCCACGTGTAGATGACTCGCCAGTTGACGTAACAGCCCTCGACAATCTGCCCATCTCACGCCCAAACCTACACACGTGGTCAATAATCGCCATTACGCACGTATTGTCTGCCCCGTTCCACTATCGAAAAGAAGAGTGCGTTTGATTCCCCAATCGATCATTCCTTTCGTGAAATGCATGGGACCCATGCAGCGCGTGGGCATGCGCAGTACCGCTCCCAACAGGCCCTCTATCACGTGCAAGGTGGCATTTTGATTTCGTCTTCCTCTTGAAGTGAACACGTTAAGTAATACGTCTCAGTTGGCCTTATTGCGAAACCACATCGAGCAAATAAGTGGAGATTTTAAGTCTCAGGCGAGATTATCTCCGGAACGCTTATGGGCCTTTCTTAATTGTCACGATTTGAACATCATTTCTGGCAGTCTATTTGTGGATCTTCCTTTCAATAACCAAGTCCTTCAGTGACAATTTATCGGCTCCAGCACTGGGGTGTACTCACGTTAGCAAATATCATATGGTCTCGTTTCTTGTAGAAGCATCTAGTACCATCGTTCAGTGGTCATGACTAAGTAAGACTGACTGTTTGTCCACGGGTTTGTGGACGATTTATTGATGTCGAACTTGGCCATTCGCACTTAACAAAACACGTCACTCAAAGTGAATATGTCCCAACGACTTGATCTGTTCTACAACGCATGAGCAGGTACATGATTGACTTCAGATTAATTTATAAATATGGATTAACCAAAAGCGCGCTGATGTTGATATTATGCGCGGCGATATAGTGGCAGTTATTTCAGTTGATAGTTTTATCGTTTCCAAACCGGCGTATTTGGTGCCAATTATATAACTAAGCTTCAATAATTTATCACAATCAAATATCCGATTCCATGAATTTACGATTTGCAGAGGGATTATAATCAATAGCGTTCCCCGCTACTGAATGGGGAGATATGGCAAGTTTGGGTCCGTTAACAAAGGCAGATTCATTCCCTGTCCTAATATATCTATGATTGAAAGTGTCCATGTGTCATCAGGATCGTGTACATCAAAAACACGTTTTGATTTCTCGTCAAATCACATATTCCAAACGCGAGAACGTTGGGCAAAAAAGTGTACCGCGATCGACTTCAGACGAATGATCGCACACTCTCGGCTCGGCGGGGATTGCATTGCTCTTTCCTAAAGTAGCAAAAGGTTAATTCGACGAAATTTTCACTCGGCCGATAGCTAAGAGATGTGATTGAACATAATGAGGAAATGGGAGGGTTTCCTGGGTAATGTGGGGGGGTCACACACCTCTTCAAATGCAGTTGACCTAACAGCTTATGATCATGCATGAGGGTCCCAGTCGTCATGATAAGAATAGTGATGATAGAGCAGATTATTTGTAACACAGTGATGCGGAAGCTTTATTGTGTAACATGACTCAACAGCTTCATCCCTGACATATCATATGCATTTACCGTACATGTCTCAAAACCAGTGATTTTCTGCATTTGTTTAATACATTCTTGCTCAAATACTTCAGTTAGCAACCGCTGAATTTCGGAATTGGATGAATTTTCTTTTAATGTTAGCGTTCAGTTGACGTACTTATGATCAGACAATCTTTATAAAGGATCATGGATACGGGTTTTTTTGTTATTTCTGTCGATGTGACGACAAACCTGAC